CCTATTGGCGGACGCTTACCCCCCTTCGTCCGCCAATGGGAAACCATAACCTCAGACACCTGGGCTCTTCAGACCGTGAGGCTGGGCCTCACTCTGGAGTTCCTGGCCATTCCCCCGAGACATTTCATCAAATGCCCAGTGCCCAGGTGCCAGGTAAAGTGGTGCCTGATGGACACAGAAATCCAGCATCTCATTTCCATCAGAGCAATAGAACAGGTGCCAAGGGGGCAGGAGGGTCTAGGTTTCTATTACATACCCTTCCTAGTCCCCAAAACCTCGGGAGGATGGCGGGCCATCCTAGATTTGAAACGGCTCAATTTCTACCTAAAGTACCAAAAATTCAAAATGCAATCACTCAAGAGTATTCTGGCGAGCATTCGCCAAGACGATCTTCTCACCTCCATCGACATCAAGGAGGCATACTTACACATGCCAATACATCCAGCCCATCGAAGGTTTCTGCGCTTCCACTTCGCGGGGCGTCATTTCCAGTACTTACCATTTGGCCTATCATCGGCCCCGCAGACCTTCACCAAACTGCTAGCAGTGATCGCAGCCTCACTGAGGTCAGTTCCCATAATAGTCAATTATCTAGACGACATCTTAGTCTTATCATCTTCCCAGGCCCAGGCTTGTCACAACCTACAGCTGACGATCGACACCCTGCAGGATCATGGATTTGTACTGAACTTTCCAAAGAGCCACCTGCATCCAACCACGTCTCTTCTGCATCTCAGGACGGTCATCAGTTCGGAGACTTGAGACAGTAGAGTCTGCGGTCCCTTGTGAGTCAAGTGTTCAATCAGAGGTTACCTTCCCTCGCAGTATTGTCCCAACTTCTAGGGAAGATGATATCTTGCGTAGATGTTGTTCCTTGGGCAAGGTTCCACGCACAACCACTGCAGTGGTATCTCCTCCCATTCCAAAGGGCTCACACCAGTCACTCTCAAGCCAGGGTTCGCTTACTGACCAAGGTGTCACTGTCGCGCCGTTGGTGGATGTCATCCCGCATCTTCAAGGGATGCCTCTTCAAGGAACCGGAGCGGATTGTAGTTACAACGGATGCGAGCCAATTCGGGTGGTGGGCCCATGCCTGGACCGAATGGCACAGGGTCATTGGACTGTCCAGGAGCTAAGCAACAGCATCAATCGGCTGGAGCTACGGGCTATCCGCTTAGCCCTCCGAGAGTTTCGAGACCTGGTTACATCCAACCATGTGTTGATCACAGTTCCTTCTAAGGTGCATGGCAGTTTCTAACTACCGCGCAGTGATTTCTCTCACAGGCTCCGGAAGCTGAGGGGCCTCAGAAAATCTAGGGTTAGCATGGGCGCGGGGACGGTGGCAGGAGCCTACACAGCACAGCTGGTTTCCTAGGAGCTCCTAGGCGCCGGCTGCGCTGCTCATTACCGTCAGTCGCCCCGTGTTCAGCAAAGCAAACGCGGGGAAGTCCTTTGCAGGCGGCTAGAACTGGCCACTCGCAAAGGATCTCCCCAGACTTGTTTTGATGAGCATGGAGCGACTGATGGTAGTTTGCGTCGGCTGCGGCCGCTCAAACTAGCATTAGTCGTCCCGTGTTCAGCAAAGCAAGCCCAGGGAGGTCCTTTGTGGGCAGCCAATCCTAGCCGCTTGCGCCTGGCGCTGAGGCTGAAATGAACCCCCAAAGCCCCCGCCGCCACCAGAATATCTGCTGCCGCCTCCTCCTCCTCCAACAGCACTGCCGGATTTGCCGCCTGACACTGCGGCTGAGGTGAAGCCGCCAAAGCTCCCACCAGCACCCCTGCCCATGGCAGTGGTGCCTCCCCCTCCACGTGGAGCACCTGAGCTGAGCCCCACGTTATCCCTCCCCCTTCCTCCTCCGTCGTGCTTTTGAGGAGCCACGAGGCCACGGGAGCCAGTAGGAAGGCAGCGGAGGGGGTGGGAGCAGGAAAAAAAGTCCTCATGGCTTCTCAAAAGCACGGCGGAAGTGGAGGCGGCGGCAGGGGTAACGTGGAGTCCAGCTGAGGTGCTCCGAGCGGAGGGGGAGGCACCGCCACCGCTGCCATGGGGGGGGGCGCCAGTGGCGGCTTCATCTCAGCTGCAGCGCCGGGCAGCAAATGTGGTGGTGCTGTTGGAGGAGGAGGAGGCGGCAGCAGTTATTCTAGTGGCGGCGGGGACTCGTTGGCATCTTCAGCGACAGACCTGCCCCCTGTGAAAAAAACCGAAGATGGAGCAGATCCACGCAGATGACTTCGCCGCAACATGACTGGAGGAGGAATTCTGGGATTTGAAGTCCACAAGTCTTAAAGCTGTCAGGTTTGAACATCCCTGGGGTTTTTTTTCCTAAAGGGTTATGGGTGCAAAGATCTTGTAACTTGACAGCTTTAAGACTTGCATGCTTTAATGCCAGAGTTTCTGAGCCAATATGACTGGAGGAGGAATTCTGGGGGTTGAAGTCCACAAGTCTTAAAGCTGTCAGGTTTGAAGACCCCTGGGGTTTTTTTTCTAAAGGGTTGGGGGTGCAAGGATCTTGTAACAACAGCTTTAAGACTTGCGTGCTTCAAATGCCAGACTTTCTGGCATTTTTGGATGCTAAGCAGGAACGTTGTTAAGTGATACTGATATTATATAACACTTTTAATTAAGTGGGTACCTTGAATAAACATAACTTTGAGTTTCAAATAATACTGATTTCATTGTTGTCAGGTGCTCAGGCATGAAAATGTGCCACTCAAACACTATACTTTTCTGCTCACACTGAAAAAAAACTAGAGGGAACATTGGTGTTGATACTCATCGACAACATGGCTTACAAGGCGCATGTCAACCACCAAGGGGGCACGAGCTCCAAATCCCTGATGATGGAAGCAGAACGTCTGCACCACTGGGCGGAAAACCATCTGCTGTCAGTCCGAGTGGAACACATATCAGGCACTGCGAACATCCAAGCAGACTGGTTGAGCAGGGCCACGGTGGATCAGGTGGAGTGGCGCTTGCACCCAGCCCTGTTCTGAGAACTGTTCCGCCGCTTTGGTCACCCGCAGGTGGACCTGTTCGCTCAACCTGACAACACACACCTGCCACGATTTTACACCAGGTACAAGGGCGGAAGGCACCGACGCCCTCTGCAGCCCTTGGCTGGAGGGCCTCCTTTATGCCTTTCCACCTCTGCCAATTGTACGGCTGGTCATCCAGAAGATTCTGGCAGAACGGGCGGAGGTGCTGCTAGTCGCACTGATGTGGCCATGGCGCTCCTGGTATGCGGACCTCGTCCATCTGTCCATATCACGTCCATGGAGAATTCCAGACGACCCGATATCCCTCTCGCAAGGGGCACTCGCCCACCCAAATCCACAGCTGTTACAGTTAGTCGTGTGGCACATGAGCAGACGATCCTGAGTCAGTAGCATTTCTCTGATAAGGTCATCTCCACGATCCAGGCAGCTCGCCGCCTGTCAACAACCTTCATCTACGAGGCTACCTGGCGCGGCTTCTGCAGATGGTGTCGAGCAACAGGTGCGGACCCAACCGGGGCAACCATACTGCAGGTATTGGACTTCCTACAGTTGGGCATGGACAAAGGCCTAACACCTAACACCCTCCACTGTCAAATTGCGGCTCTGTCTACTGTGATTGGTGGTGGACGGGGCCACCCCCTATCTCAACACCCAGGGGTGCAGGCCTTCCTGAAGGAAGCGGCGAACCTTACTCTGCCTATCATTCATCGCTACCCCACCTGGGACCTCTCCCTAGTACTCAATGCCCTTACAGCGGCTCCATTCGAGCCTATTCGGACCATCTCCCTCAGGTTACTGACTCTTAAGACTATCTTTTTAGTAGCCATCACATCGGCCAGACATGTGTCCGAGTTGGCGGTGCTCTCTGTCCAGGATGACCTCTGCATTTTCCATCCGAGCAGGGTCGTACTACGTTTGGACCCAACCTTTCTTCCAAAAGTCAACTCGTGGTTCCACAGGACACAAGAGATCACTCTCCCGGATTTCTGCCCACAGCCATCTCATCCCCGAGAACGGCGTTGGCATCATCTCAATGTTTGTCGTTCACTTTGCCGCTATGTGTGACGCATGGCGTCGTTCAGAAGGACGGAGCCCCTGTTCGTGTCTTTCCAACCTGCCACCATGGGCCAAAAGGCATCATCGCATACCATCGGCCACTGGTTGAAGGTGTGCATTGCCCTAGCCTACGACTGTCAGTCCCGACCAGTTCCCAGTCATATCACTCTCCATTCTACCAGGAGCGCGGCCACAACGGCTGCCTGGGCAATACAAGCCTCGGTGGAGGACATCTGCAGGACAGCGACCTGGTCATCACCGTCACCCTTTATCCGTCGCTACAAGAGTACGTTTATGCCTCGGCTGAGGCATCCTTTGGACGTGCTGCAAAGGATAGCTTCTTCGGCTACGGCACCAGACCAGCCTCGCTCCCGCCCCTGAAGTCTAATGCTTTGGCGTGTCCCGTGCTTGGATTCCCCAAACAGCGCACAGAATGACCGTTGACTTACCTGAACGGTCCTTCTATGTGCGCTGCGAGGAGAATCCAACCTCACCTTCGGCTTCGGCTGTTCTGGGCCTGGACTTCCATTTTTCCTATGACATTCTGACTTACCTTGACTTCTAGACTTATTTTGTTTCTCTCAAGCCGGCTGATTCTTCGTGCAAAACTGAACCTCCTCAGTCAGAGGAGGCGTGGCCAGTAATTTGCATAATTCAGTCTCAAGGCTAATGGACAAAGTTAATCCATGCTTGGATTCCCCTCGCGGCGCACATAGAAGGACCGTTAAGGTAAGTCAACGGTCGTTTTTTCTTTCTTGTCTTTCGTAAAATGTGCCCAGACAATACACTGTATTTAAAATATTGATATATAAATAAAAAAAAACTTGACACATACTGTACAAAAAAAAAAGAACTCATAAAAATTCAAGATAGGAGCAATAGTTTTCATTTTCTTGTACCATCAACTTGGATGAATAGCTATACTTCTTAGTTTATCTTCTGAATTTATTTCAAGATATCTAATTATGGTAATAGTATTTCTTAAAGTTATTCTTACTTCTCCATTACTAATTGCAAAGGTAACATTTAAAATCAGATTCTTTGTCATTTAAAGAAAACATCAGCTAACAACCCTATACATATCTGCTCATTCATTTGTCCTTACCCTGAATATTTGAAATAATAAGTTTTATAATAATAACATTAACCATTTTTATTCTATGAAAACAAACTTACTGATCATTGGGCTTGTCAATGCAAATAATTTCGCAAGTCCTAAAAACAACAGAAATGAACACATCTGGTTATAAAATTTGAAATTACACCTTAATATACCATAATTTCCAGAGTATAAGACGCACCTTAATTTGGGGGGAGAAAAACAAGAAAAAAAGTTTCTGCCTCTGCCTACCAGCATCCATCAGTATAAATCTGGCTAGCATCCTTGCAGCAAACAGTGGGTGGAATACCGCCAATCAGCTGTTCCAGGCTGCAGGGATTGCGACACACCACCGCCGCCTTTGTGCTTCGCATTTTCAGGTGGTTCCAGGCAGTGGGGATCCTCACTTCCACTCGTTTTGATAACAATCTTTTTATCCATTTAAAACAAACCCTATCACACTATTCTATTTAACTGGAGAGGGTGGGGTGGAGTATGATTTTCATGGGAGCAGAAGAAGGACTTGGCACCAAAGTCTCCACTCCCGAGATATCCCATCTTCCTACTTATAACCGTAGGCATTGAAAGCCTGGCTTTCTTGCAGCAAGCCCAATAGAGATGCAGCACTTTAGTCCTTCTGGACGCTGCCATCTCATAAACACGTTGCCCAGCTTCCCAGCAAGCCCGCTACACCCGAAGGGGCTCTGAGGAGCACGGGAGTCAGGATTCGGTTGACGAAGCGGGCACTGCGCAGGAGGCAGTTGCCATGATCTTCATTTCAGATCTGCTGCCTTCTGCACATCCGGTTGAAGATCCACCACCCTTTTCCTTACATTCATACAATAGAACGACTTTATTATCATGACAGCCGTTCGAGTGGAAGGTGAACTCCCTCCGCTTCTGATTGTGCTCCATCTGGATGGGGAAGCTGCCACTGCTGGGTTCCCCCCTCTCCCCTGCCGCTGGCTGCTTTGCCTTTGTCCACGCATAGTGGGGAAGAGCTCAGAGGGGAGCTCGGGGGGAGGGGTGGAAAGAGTGTGGAATGGGGGATCCATTCCCCCAATCCTGTTCAAGCGGTCCTTGCAGGCCAGTTGTCAGGGGAGTGATCCATGTGGTTCTCCTATCAGAAAACATTGTAATGGGAAGAGTAGGGAGGGGAATCCTCCAGCTGTGAAACCTGTACTTGGTGATAGGAGCCAAAGCACACCAGGTTTTTGGTATCAAGAAGAAAGCTTTTTCGGGTGGCAGCTCCACTATTCCCTTCCCGATTGCAAAAGCTTTTCTTCTGTCTAATACTCCAAAAAATACGGTATTTATAATAGCTTAGAAGAGATAGTTTTCCTCTGGGGGATAATCAGAACTGATTATAGTAGCAAAAGTAATTTTAGTGAAACTGGGCTGATGCAAAATGGGATTATTTATCATTTTTGAAAAATTTAGGAAGCAGATCTCAGGATTCATAATTCAACAGGAAGGGCCCTTGCTGACTATGTTCTTGAGGTGATCTGGCAGTCCTCAGAGCATAAGAAAAAAAGTTATAAACACTTAGCTGTTATCAAACTAAAAAAAAGCAAAACTCTAACTTATTACATCTCATATTACATCCATCAATGTATGTTCATGTTAAAATATTTTTACTTATTTAAAAATTAAGTGATGAACAATATAAAATAATAAAACTCATAGTAAAAATATTATATTATAAAAAGAATATAATAAAACCAACATTCACTATCAGAGAACCTAGTATGCATTTAGGATGGTTACAGTGTCCCAGGGTAATGCAATCACTTTTTGTGATCTTCTGAGAAGTCAATGGGAAAGCCACATTCACTTAAGAACCATGCTGCTAGCTTAACACTGCAGTGATTCACTTAACAATGTGACAAGAAAGGTAGTAAAATGGGACAAAACTCACAACTAGATTTTAGAAAGAGCCAGTATGGTTATACTCCACTCAGTATTAAGGATGCAGCTGTCGAGGTAGTCAACACTATTAAGTATCTGGGGGTGCAGATAACTAGCAATCTGAACTGGTCTTTCTACATGTCATCCTTAGTGAAGTGTGCAAACCAGCATCTGCATTTCCTGCATCAGATGAGAGCACATCTTTCTCCCCCTCTCCTGGCCACTTTTTACAGAGGCACGATTGAAAGTGTTTTAATAAACTGCATCACTGTTTGGCTTGGTGGCAGCAGTGCCTCAGATAGAAAATCCATACAGAGTGGTAAGGACAGCCAAGATTATTATAGGAAGCTCACTTCCTGTTACTCAGGATACTGCTTATAAACACTATGTGTTTAGAGCGCAAAGCATTGTTAGAGACCCCACACACCCACTTCACAGTCAGTTTCTGTTGCTCTCCTCTGGGCGGATGTTTCCAAGTATTTCTAACAAGACTACCAGATTCTGTAACTGCTTTGTTCCCTATGCCATCCATCTGATAAACTAGCAAGATTTGTTTTTCTCACCATGCACATATATACATCCGAACTAGACTGTGTTGTTTCTCTGTGTCATATAAAATATTTGGGTATATGCATAATTTTGCATTTATTTATTTTGTCATGTTTATATAGTGTATATTGGAGGTGGTGAGTGATCCTTTGAGAGCTGTATGCAATGAAATTTCATTTTAATGTATGCCAATTAGTATACATTCAAAATGACAATAAAGTTATTGTATCTAACTGTCCTGCTTACCAACAGAAATTTTGGGCTCAACTGGGATCATAGGTTGAGGACTACTTGTATTTGGGTAGCCTATAGACTATCAGTATGTGAAAACTTTAATTACTGATTGACTATGTATGGAATGGATATCTGTTTCTGCTCTGACCACAGGAGCTGGTATGTGTTGTCAGTTTCTTAAGAAATAGGTCTCTACTTGTTCAAGTAAGGTGGCCAAAATTCCACACCATAAGTCAACATTTGGGTTATTTTTGCCCTGAATGCTTTCTCTATGGGGGTCAAGGTATCTGGGTATAGTTAAACAGTTTATATAGTCTTTTAGTAGTTAGTACTTATTTTATTTTTAACCCCAAAGGGCAAAAAAACTTGGAAATCAGAAATACCCCTTATAATGTTTTCTTCTTCAAATATACATTAGATGGTGAACAAGTCAGAAAGTTCAGGATTAAGCTACAAGTTTCCTTTTTTAACAATTGTTAATAGTACAAAAGTGAAATAATAATGTGATTCCTGGTTCTGATTCAAACAACAACCTTTAAATTTCACAGCAATAATATTAAAAACATTTGTCCTAATTTTCTTACCAGCAATTATAAATAAAGCTATTTCATAACATATATTTAAGTATTGCTTAAGCATAAACTCCTTTTTAAAGAAATCTAAATTTCAAAATGCAATAGATAATGAATATTTTACCTTGTAAACTTTTGGTAGAGTACTAAGAGTACATCATATTTCCTTTGCAGACGTGATATAGTACAGTCCATTTTAGCACTAATTGTATCCATGTTGACATCTATTTCTTTAATCAAGTGCAGAAATTTGCATACACTGCAAGAAAAATAGAAAGAGAGCAACCAAATCATTCATTTCTAACGTTTACTAAATTAAATTTTCCCATTCCTATATTATATTCCATATTATAACAGTGACTTTGTTTTCATGTCTGATATTTTCTGTTAGTATACTATCTGTCTCATGTCTGATGTTTTCACACCCTAACAAATATAATTACAGTAAAATCTCCATAGTTGACCATCTCCCTAAATTAACCTAATTTTCGTAGACTGGGCATACACTATATATGCACAATAGAAAACCAACCTCTCTATATAATCCAATTCTGTAAATTGTATCTTGACCACCTGGAGCATGACACACAATATTATTAATTTACTCAACTTGACCTGTTGAGTCCAGTCTGCACCAAGGCAAGTAAAGTTAAATGCAGAATTGGTAGCAATGAATTTCTTTCAAGACTATCAAAGAATACAATATTTTGGACTTTGATTCATCAGTTTAACAATGATAATTATGGATTCATTTCATAATACAAATTGCACAGTCTTTTTTTTTTGCACTTCATTTTTTTTCCTTTTTCCGGATCAATAAAAAATATCCAATGATAAAATAAAACAAATACACACATAACACAGACATATCTGAGCCATTAAACTACATCAGAAATTCAACCTCTTGAGCAAGGCATAATCAAAACATTCTACTGTAAATGCACTACTGAGCCCAGCTTCTGCAGTGGGTCATTTCTAAAATTCAAAACTATGGTTCGTGTGCAGAAGCAAAATTATCTGTTTCATCAGTTACTGCTCTAGATGCAATTCTCTGGATTTTTTCTGCTTGGAATAAAGTTCAGCCTGAAACAATACAGAAGTGCTTCAAGAAAGCTGGATTTGTTACAACCCAAGGGCAAGATGTTGCAGCCCTGCTAGACAGTCTACCTCCCATGGTGGAATTCGAGGGAGTAGATTTTGAAGATTCTGTTGCAATGGATGACGATGTGGTAATCCGCAATGAATCTGACCCAGAAGCAATTTTCCAATCAGTACTGACTGAGGTACAACCCAGTGGAAAAGTGCTGGAAGCAGCTGATGAAGCAGAAGAATTAAGTGAGGAATTAAATATTCTGAAAGAAGAGGATGTCAGTCATTTGATAATGCAGTTAAAGTCATTTCCGTGGAAAAATGCCCAGGTATGGTGAATGGTATAACTAGCACTGAGAGTGCTTTCTCCTCTTACCTTCATAAAGAGTAAGAAACAGACTAAAATTGACTTTTTTTCAGAAAGAATGAACAAATCATGACAATACATACTTAAATGTATTGATTTTGTATGATACAGTGTTGTATGAATTAATTTCCTGTGTTTTCACTATGTGTGTTTCTGTATGACATTCTCTAATAAAAGCTGTATAATAAAATGAGGCGTGTCTACATATCAGTACAGTCGTTCCATATGTTGACCACTTTCCTTCAATCCCTTGGGTGGTCAACTTTCAGAAGGTTTATTGTATATTATACAGTTCTTCAACCAAGATAAATAACAATTAAGAGTAATTTTTGTTAAATCCAACTTTCCCTAAGTTCAACATTCTTCCACCAAGGCAAGTGTAGTAAAATCTTTATAAATGATCCTATTTGCTCATGGGGTGAGGAGGAAGTTGAAACCATCTCAGACATATTACATTATAAATTCTATAGGGACATTAGATTTATTTTCATTTTGCTCCTAATAGAATTCCCTGGGAGACTATATATATTTTAATATATATACCAATTAAGGTTTGTAATTAGTGTCACAACCACTGGTATGCCCAAATATGGGAGGAAGCAGACTGCTTCCATTCTCTGTCTATCGGCTCGTCACAAGAGACCATCCAGACAGAAACCCAATATTTTTNACACACACACACACACAATTGTCGTTTGCAGGTATTTATTGTGGAGAGAGAAATCTCAAGAACTTGGCAATGTTTAGAAATTTTTTTCTGTTTCTTTTGCAAGGTCATCTATCTCCCAGGTAAAATTCAGATTATAATGAGCCTAACGGCCACAAAGGAAAGCTGCACAGGCAACAAGAGAGAGAAACATGATGTTCTCAATTCTATGCTTAGCAGCCATTACATCTGATCAATAAGGCAAAAGCTGAGAATGACACCTGTAATTCCTCTATTCTGTTAAATATCATTGATCTCAAAACTCAGCACTATCAGGGTGGGCGTTTATTTACATGTATGTTTGGTCTCCTGAGCATCTTTTCCAAGCCATCAAGCTGTTTCACTCCTCTTGGGACCTCGTTTGCCACCCATTCGATTTCCAAGATGAAATAAGGGCGACAGCTTTTAAAACGGGGAAAGGCTCGATTGCTAATTTTATTTTATTTAGATTATTTTATTTTCGATGTCACAAAGAAGCTCGGGGGAGGCAAATGCAGCCATGAGTCCCAGAAATAGAATTCCCTTAATTCAAGGAGGAATCGAGAGGTAGATGCCGCGAACTTCCTTCCTTGCACCGAAAAAAAGATGGCAACCTACGGGCCACTTAAAAGGAGCTGGACTGACGGATCTCTCTCCTCTCCCCTGACCCAGCTCTTGCTGCCCTACGCCTCACTCCAACCCCACCCTCCGCCCGCAGGCGACAGTTACCGAACTGACCTGTCAGGAGCCGGAGGGGCGGCGGCGGGCGTTTCAGATTCCCCCGCGGACTCGGAGCTGTCGTCCGTCTGGCTTGTGGGGACAGTTCCCATTTTCCGGGGGGGGCTGGTCGGCGCCATGTTCGACGTCTCCAGCCACATAGAGGTTGCCCCGGGAGCCTAGACGCTGCTGCAGAAAAGCCCGGCCGCTACCGTAGCTGCCTTCCTCAAAGCATCCCCGCCCGTCTCCGAAACCGCGGGAAAATGCTTCACGCCCCTCCCCTAGACGTCACTTCTGGTGAAGCATTCCGGCGGAGCCTGCCATAGAGATACATCGATGGACGCGCTCGCACTCAGCCGAGGCTTCCTGGGCGCGGAGCTGGTTTTCGCGATCTTGACGGTGTGATCCTATATGATCCTCATTTATCGTGTATAGCTTTTATGTACACTGAGAGGATATGCACCGAAGACAAATTCCTTGTGTGTCCAGTCACACTTGGCCAATAAAGAATATTTTACTCTATTTCAGCCTTGCACCCACCAACCTTGTTCCAAACTGGTCACATTTTCTCGGAGTGACGAGTGAATCCAAGCTTTAATTCTTAGCGTTTCTATCTCTGCAACGTTTTCGGAACAGGGAAGGAGGGAAGCAGTGAATCAAACCCGTTCTTGCGTAGTCTCTCTTAAGAGGCCCGGCACAAAGAAAGGAGGAAGGCGACCACCCGGGAAGAATAAGTGGATGTCAAAAGTTGCTTTAACGGCAGGAGTGTTTGCTGCTACCCTTTTCTAGCCCTTCTGCTGAAGTCCCGGAGGCTCCCTAATAGGAGCCAATAACCACTGACATGGTTTAGTGCAGGGGTAGTCAACCTTTTTATACCTACCGCCCACTTTNTGAATCATCTCTGAGTATCTTCCTTACTCTGCTAAAGCAGCGAGATCTGGCGATGTCATCCAGTGGTGTCTGAGGGCAACCAATGGTTTCTTGTGCCAAATTGATCACTCTCTGTAGTGCCTTCCTGTCCGCAGCTGTTAAACCAGCATACCATACTGTAATACGATATGTGGGAACTCTTTCTATGGTGGACCGATAGAAAGAGGTCATCAGCCATTGTTCTACCCGATTTATATAGATGTATTAATATAGTAATAGAATAATAAATATTATTTTGTGAATTATTTTGTTAGTTGCCATATTATCTATTTTCTTTGCTTTGCTTTTGTACTTTTAAATGTTGCTATTGATTGAATATTACCAATCAACTAAGAATAATTTTATTATATCAGTCAGTAATGTCTAGTCATAGGGACGTGATGGCTCAGAGGCTAAAACGCTGAGCTTGCCAATCAGAAAGGTCAACAATTCAGCAGGTCAAATCCCTAGCACCGGGTAATGGAGTGAGCTTGTCCCACCTTCTGCCAACCTAGCAGTTTGAAAGCATGTAAAAATGCAAGTAGAAAAATAGGGACCACCTTTGGTGGGAAGGTAACAGCGTTCCTTCAGCATTTAGACATGACCACGGTGACATCTTTGGACAGCACTGGCTCTTCGGCTTTGAAATGGAGATGAGCACCACCCCCTAGAGTCAGGAACAACTAGCACATATGCGCAAGGGGAACCTTTACCTTTAATGTCTAGCCCAAAAAAGTTAAGTACTTTGCTAGTAGTTGAATTGTGATGATCAAAAAATCCCAGAGCAATAGGCTGAACTTTGAAGTTGAAAAAAATCATCCCATAAGATCAAAAGAATCAATGGCAGTCAACTGCTGCACTGATGTAACAGGTATGAAGAGGAACTGATTTTGTAGAGTACAGTTGATGAATACAAAGAACTGGAAGTACAGAATTATAAATAAAATTGCTAAAACATGTATCAGAAAGTATGAAACAGTGTCATTGAAGTTGTGGATATACATGATGCTACAAATCTATAGTGGTGACATCCACAATTTATGATCCAGAGTATAGAGAAAATAAAAGCAGTTTCCTCAAATATCAAATAATCTGTCTTAATATTTTTTCATCCAGAATCATACTTTTTCTCTTTTTTCTTTCACTTCTTTTCTTTGCTTCTGTGCTCATGTTTTTACACATCCATTCTTGGTGGTCCTCCAGAATGGCTTGTCCCATGTTTAGAACTTCAAGCCACCTTTGTATCCAGCTCTGATTCTGTCAGACTTTCATCTGTTATATTTTTACATTTATATTCTGTAGAGATTTATCCAAATGAATAAACATCCTGAAATGCTGGCATTCAAAACAAATCTACCAATATCTAATTCTTCTCCCCACTTACTGTACATCTATCCTATCAGATCCACAGGAGAGTATGCTGCGTGTCCTATCAAGCAGGGAGTTCCACTGGGCAGTACCTAGAAGAAAAGCCTTTTTCTGTGATCCCATCCTATGGAACATCTCCCCGCCCCCAACGCAGAAGAGACTGGCCCCAACCCTGTTGGCCTTTGAGGCCTTTAAAACATTTTTTTCAATCACATGGCTTTATGACAGGGGTCCCCAATCGCCAGTTCATGGCCCAGTGTTGGGCCACAGTCTATTGGGAATTTGGTTGTGTAAGCAGCAGGCAAGCAGGCAAAGTTGGATTTGCACAAGCAGTGTGTGCATGCGCAAAACCATCCCCTCTCCCCTTCTCCCAGGTCCTCAAAGCCAGAATGGTTGGGACCGCTGCTTTATGACAGTTAGGGTATATTTATGTATATTTGCTACATGTTTACTCATTTTTACTTGTTTTTGTTTTAATTTTAATTGGGTGTTTTACTGTTTTTTATGTACATATTTTGATTGCTTTATGAGGTACGCTACCCACGTTCACTATAAGATGAGTGGCTATATAAATATGATTAACTAAATAAAATAATTACCCAACGGAATGAATAAAAAATGAAAGTAAGGAAAGATGATGTGGAAGATGCTTGGAATAAAATGAAAAGAACTACAGTATGTAAGTGTGCCTTACATAATTCTGTATTACTGAGCAGAATTACTGAAATGGATGAATGAATAGATTGAAAAGAAGGGAACAACTAAGAAAATTCTGGTTGGATGGTATTGATAAGATGCTTAAAAGTGATGACTGTATTATGGTAATTTATGAGGTCATGTATGAATGAGCAAGCCAATGAGCAGTAGCAAGTATCAAAAGACAGAAAGATATTAAGATGTGTAGTAGTAGTAGTTTTTCCTTTTCCTTTATCTCACGCTTTTAATTTCTTTGGTTAACTAGATTTTACTCATTTTTTGAACTCTGCATGCTTTTGTTTATCCTAGAGGGAAACAATGTGAGGGATATGTATAAATGAATAGTTTCTTCAAGAGGCTCAAATAGCAGTGGGAGAGAGGCTAAACAAGATGGTAGAACACTTAAATGTCTTAATCCGGTTTCCCTCAAAATTAGCAATCCTACTACTTTAACATGTAATTTATTAATTACTGGTTATGAACACTCATATAGATCATTTAAGGCAATATAAAAGATGCTTCTCTTCATGACTCTAAATAAAATTTATGTATTCTTTAATGTCAAACAGACATAACTATAATTGCATAACTTTACAGATCTATGTGGACACAAACATACCTAATTTTTAAACATTTCAGAAGTTCTGTAAAAGTGAATGTCATCTCATCCAGGTCAACTGCAGCCATAAAAATGCAGATGCCCCACAATTCTTTTTTTAGCTGGCTCTCCTAGGAAAAAAGGTTAGCTCAGTTGTATTATTTAGAGCTGTAATATAATGAACAATATCAGATCAAAATTTATGTTCAATATAATTGTTTTACATAGAACTTTTGCAGTTATATTTATATAGCTTATCATCATATATTCTATTATCAAAGTAAGTGGACCAACATCTATCAGTTTATAAAAGGCAATTGCTGTTGCTGTATGTATGGGGAACTCAAAATAATTTTTAAGCTATTTTTATTTCAAATATAGGAATAACTCAGCAATACTTAAGAATGTGCTTTTTAGGATCAATCAAATATTGAAGGTTATTGCACCAAAAGAAAAGGGAGATAATAGGAAAAAATGGATGACACTCAGCTATATGTCTCAGCCCATGGTGAGTTAAGTGATGCCATATCCTCCCTCTCGCAGTGCCTGGAGGCTATTAGGGACTGGATGGGGAGCAATGGATTGAAACTAAACGCTGGCAAGACTGAATAGCTCTGGGTTTGGGGTTCTTTGGCCCAAGGAAACTCGTCACCTTTGGCTTTGGATGGCCCTGTGCATAATCTAGGGGTTCTCCTGGACTCTCGACTCCTGCTCAAAGAGCAGGTGGCAGTTGTGGGCAGGATGGACTTTGCTCAACTGCGGGTTGTGCACCAGTTACACCCTTTCCTAGACCAACAATACCTACTTGCTGTCACTCATGCCCCAGTCACTTCCCGTCTTGACTATTGCAAAATGCTCTACCTGGGGCTGCCCTTGAAGAGCATCCAGAAGCTCCTGTTGGGGCAAAATGCAGCACCACACATGGTTTTGTGCAGACCTTGGGGTGCACATGTATCATCTCTCCTGCGGGAGCTGCACTGATTGCTGATTTGCTTCCAGGTACAATTCAAGGTGCTGGTTGTCATCTTTAAAGCCCTTCATGGCTTGGGACCAGGTTATCTGAGGGACCGTCTCTTGCCGGTCACATCTACCTGATGCACCAGAGCGAGAAATCAAACAATATTGCAGGTCCCATCCCCGAGGGAGATACACCTGGTGGGACCCAGAAGAATGGCTTTCTCTGTGGTGGCTCTGTCTCTGGAGCATCATTCCCCCAGAGATTAGAATGGCCCCCACTCTAACACTCTTCTGGAAAGCACTTAAGACCTGGTTCTGCCAGCAGGCCTGGGGAACGCAGAGTGAGATGGAGCCCATTAAATGGCTCGTATGTGTTGTCGCCAGGGCAGGGGGTTATTTTATTATATATGATTCTCTCTTTGATTGGTTTTATATGATGTTTTTATATTTTTGTAAGCTACCTCGAGTCTCCACGTGTGAATAGGCGGCAATATAAATCTCCTAAATAAATAAATACAGGTCTACCTATAGATGGGCCTTCTGTTTACATAAGGAAGGATTCAAAGTTATCGAAGTTGCTGGCCATAAATAGCAACAAGCAATTCTGAAATATTAGCACTTTGCAATCATTTTAGCATGGAGAGCAAGAAACTAAACACTACTTGAACTACAAAACAAAACTGTCTAGATTTTATCAGATGTGAATTAATATTATTTTAAAATCAACTTCAGTTCATGAGAAAAGTGAAATAGTACTAAAAATATAAACAAAAACTAAATAGGGGGGATGAATGTACATGTATTTGTATTATTGTCCAAAATGTATTATGGTTATTACACTGTGATTTTAGTTAATAAAATTACATACTTAATAAGCAAGATATACTCACTACATCCATTTTTTCATAGGTCTTCCAAGCAGTTATTCTCACATTGTCTGTTATGCGTAAAGCATCACATAAGGAAACAAAGTCTGTTTCAGCAAACAAAAGCCTAGCAAAGAGAAATATGTTACTTACAAAACTGAATATTTTAGATACTTGACAGATTGTATAATTTTGTGGAATGTGTACTACACTATTTATTTCGGCATATAAGGTACTGACTTTTCACTTCCAATACTTTTTTATTTATCAAAAAACCTCGTGAATTGAACTCATGAGGTTTTTTTTTTTTACAAGGGGATTCAATGGGTGAAGGGGCGAGGAATGCAACAGACCTGGAAAGGTAAGAGGTGCGCCTCACTTCTCCCCCCACCACCTGCCACCCCTTGCTAAAGGGACGGTGGGGAAGGGAACCAGGCAATCTGCCTTTACCATTGGGATGGACGGTGTTTTTTTGCACGAGAAGAAACAGGCGGGAGGGGTGATCGCATTGCTGGCCTGCCACTGTTTTTGCGGCAGGCTCTTTTTGCATGGGAGGGAAGGGCGGGAGGTGGAAGCACTTTGCTTCACCTGTCGCTGTTTTTGTGCTGAGCCCTCTTTTTGCCCCACAAGCTATACCAGTAGGTGGTACAGTGGTAATGGCGGGGACCGGTTGCGCATGCGGGGTTATTTTGGGGGGAGGGCTTATTATGGTGCATGCTCTGAAAAGCCCAATTGGGCTTATTAGCAGGGCATGTCTTATTTTCAGGGAAATACAGTACATACATACATACATACATACATACATACATACATACATACATACTCTTATTTAATCAAGTCCTTAGATTCTCAGGCTATGGGTTATAGTGGATAAAGGGACTCTTAGAATGTTTGGTCTATTAGTCTGCCATTCTTTCCCCCCATTTTTGTTTTTAAACTATACAATTACTGTTAGTCATGGACANCAACTGTAGATTTGAAGGGACATAAGCAGGGAGAATGGTATATACTCCCAGATGGAAGAAATTTAGCCTGGCCAGTAGTAAAAGACTCTCACTCAGCAACTCACATGGGCCTTCACCTTCACTCGCTATGTGCCCATGCAACTGAGAGATGTAGCACATGTGTTCAAGTTAATCCAAGACAAGGACCTAGACTTAAGCTTCTGCCAGGAAGTCAGCCCAAGGGACATTACCTTATTGATTCATTAGTTATTGATTTCACACACATGCCCAAGTGTGGGCTGTATAAGGCAACACTTCAGAATACTTTTCCCATGAAATCTATGCCAATACAGATAGTCTTCACTTATTGAGTGCCTTGTCTGGGATCTCCAAAATTATGGTGTTGAAAAAATAATTTTATAACCAATCCCCATATTTACCTTTACCCCATTCCTTTGTCACATGATCACCATTACAATCAATACATATTTTTCTGTTCCTACTTTTTTTTCCAGCTGCAGAGTGAAGAAATTAGGGATTGCAAGAGAATAAGCATGCACACTGAGTAATATACAACTAAAGCAATGCACTGTCATTGGCAGCTGCAAGGACGCTATTCAAATGTATTCCCTGTATGCACTTGCTTCCTCTCTTGTAATCTCTTCCTCTCCAATCTCTTCTCTCTTTGGAGTGGGTGGAAGGAAAGCTACCTCTACACTGCTCCTGTGCCTGACTTGTTTCCTCCACCTTGCAGAGATTGCCAACGAAGGGATTTCAAGAAAAATCAATTCTTTGCTTCTTAAATACAGAACTGGATGATAAATCCCTAATTTAAAAAAAACCCAATACTTTAACATTTACTTCTTTAAAAAGTGTTTCAGTTCTACTCTAAACCATTACAAATAAAACTAAATAATTCCAAGATTTAGTAACCTAGTAATTATAAAAATGTAACCAGTAATTTCTAAAATACAATTCTTAGACACAGTTCATATAAAAGAACTTAGCAAAAATATTTACACAAAGAGATTTGTATTTATTTTCTTTTGCATACATATAGCTTATATACAGGTCAGTAACATGAAATTACTGCTAAAGTTTGTACAATAGACACCTATATTAGCACAGCCAATTCGAAGTGAATTTAAATGTCACTGGAAACACAGCAAATTCCAGCTTTATTATAAAATGTTTCTTAATGAGCGTTAATCAATAATAGTACTAATACACCTCAAAAGTTGCAACTGATCTATACATTTTTTAACTTTTAACTAGAATTATTTTATATAAATTTTTGGTAATATTGGATGCACAGTTTACCTCCTGATAGTTCAGGATTTATTATGTGAAATACATTAACAATATACAGCTTCTTCTATTCCAACATCAAAAATAACATTATACTTCAAAATATGACAAAGATGTTTCATGAGATTAAGTAATTAGATTCAGCTGTACAACCTTGTCTATTCTTTAATAAATGATTATAAAAAGAAATCACTGCACATAATAGAAATGATAAATGGAAATATCTTTTTAATTTTCTGTTACAGTAGCATTCCTTATTATTCTTCGCAAATAAGCGTTTCCATCACAAATCTGTTCTCAAAATGTCGAATTATCCGGCAATTACCTGCTTCACGCTTGTGAATGCCTATTATGGGAGAATGAACAAAATATTGAGTTATTTTTTAAAAAAATGTATACATTGTCTTGTATGGAAAAATATGCATTTAAAAACCACAATGTATATTTTGTAAAGTATGCAGAGCTGCTCTCCCATTCAAGGTCTAAATTATACCAGAAAGAAAACTGTGCAAAGAAACTGTGACATTATTCTGTACTGAAATGACAGGCCATGTGGGAGTTCAGGTAATCCTCATTTGATGATCACTCATTCAGTGACCATTTGAAGTTGTAATGGAGTTGAATAATTGGTATTTACAACCAGTCCTTAAACATTTGGTCATCATGATACTCCATAGTCATATGGTTGCAATTTGAGTATTTGGCAATCAGTTGACACGACAGTTGAGGTGTCCTGCAATGACATGACCATCATTTGCAACCTTTCCTGCCATCATGCAAAGTCCATGGAGAAGTCAGCAGAGAAGGTTGTACAGGGCGGGGCATAACCTTTTCCTAGGGGGTCACAGCAACACTTGTAATAACAACACAAATAATTCATACACCATTCGAAAGCCCATCAAAAACTGAGTTTATTGACACGATTTAATAGTCAGTATGACCACCATTAGCCCTTCGAACAGCATTCAAACGAGGTGGATAAGAACACAACAAATCTTCAAACAGTCATTATTTTGCAATTCTAGGGCGGGGCATAACCTTTTCCTAGGGGGTCACAGCAAGATCGACAGCAGTTTACAACTTCTGCGACACCTCATTTTAAAGCCCATAAAAAACTGAATTGAATGAGCTATTAAATGTTAAATTTGCTTTAAGAATGGCTGGAAAATTCGATTCGGAAGAACAAAGGATCATTGACAGAATAAAATGCATTGCCTTTCGAGAGGCACCTCGTTTGAATGCTGTTCGAAGGGCTAATGGTGGTCATACTGACTATTAAATCGTGTCAATAAACTCAGTTTTTGATGGGCTTTCGAATGGTGTATGAATTATTTGTGTTGTTATTACAAGTGTTGCTGTGACCCCCTAGGAAAAGGTTATGCCCCGCCCTGTAAGTCACTTCTCTCAAGGAGCTCCACTATGAGATCCCAGGGATCTTTCGCTCTGTAGTATGTGCTCACACTACAGCACTCCCTCCCACAAACATAGCTGTACTCAGCCGGCACCGCAGTACCTTGACCACAGTCCACATGTACACAGTCCACATGTACACAGCATCTCCTATTATTAACAATGGGAAGACAGGTGAGCGTAGACAAGAGTATTATGGGTTTTCTTTTTTTTAAAAAAGCACTGTTCTCAACAGGAAGTATATCCAAAGTTTTCCATCTGTTATCTTCACTGGTTTCTTATTTTAAGTGTGTATTGAAATTTGTAGAAAGTTATTAAGTTTAAGTTTGTATTATGAAGAGGTTCTATCAGTTTCCATTCACTGAATAGATTCACTGGATTCTATGAGTGGACAAAAGATATATGAACTTATATCTGTCTAATTGAGAATAAGCCTCATGGAGCACTGTGGACTCTGCTTTGAAGTTGCATAGCACATCCTTTAAACTCTCTTTGTCTCAGAAAGAGAGGAACGGAGGGACAGAGAGAAAGAGATCAAACAAATAAATAATTTGATTTAAATAATTTAAATAAGCAGTCAAATCTTCAGTTTTAATTTCAAGTTTCTTCACTATACTGTCCTAAGAAATACTGTAAAATAAGGTATTATATCTAAATATATTGGACATGTTCAAACTTCCAATGAAATACTTTTAAATATCATTAATATTGGTAAGTTAACCACATGCTTAATTTATCAAAGTGAATGGTAGTAGTACATAACTTTAGGTTTGCCAAACATTTGTGGGGGAAATGTACAATAATGTTTTAATATACATATGAAAGTAATATTAGTAAAATTAACAAACCATTACACCAAATAATTTAGCCACAGGTATATCATCATTTCTTCTTATAAGAGAATATATTCATAATTTATCAGGAACCATTTTTTTCCAACCAGAACATTGTGCTAAGCTATGCTTTACTGACATTGCAGTCTGATGTGAAATATTAAAAGGCAAAAAATCTGTTTTAAAGCTTTGCATATATTAAATATGCACATCTGAAACATTAAAAATTAGGTGCTACAAGAGTCATGGATATTTTTATGGACATTTTTATAATATAGGTAAATCCTCATTTAAAATCCACATTAGCCACCCTTTCATGTTATAATGACCAAGTCGTAGCCTCCCCAGAATCACATGATCACATTTGGTGACCTACTCATATTATGATGCTGCAACATCCCATGTGATCACCACCTGTGACCGTCTCTGCTGGCTTTCAACATGATGTCAATCGGAAAACCAGCAAGAGATTACAAATGATAAATGCAGGATGCTGCAAACACACAGGATTCGCCGAATTCTGGCAACTGTTGTCATAAATCAGCATGGTCACACAATGTCATGCCTTATGACCATATCACTTAGTGATGGTATTCCTGATTCCAATTAGCATTGGTAAGAGAGGACTGCATGTACCAGATTTTATTCAGATTGAAATGTTAGTTTTGCAGTTTCATCATGGTCACACAATGTCATGCCTTATGACCATACCACTTAGTGATGGTATTCCTGATTCCAATTAGCATTGGTAAGAGAGGACTGCATGTACCAGATTTT